TTATGGAAATCCACAAGGTACCTACTTTCCATTTTTATTAAAATTTCAATTACATAAGAAATAAGATGAAATTACGTCATACAAATAAAATAGTGTTGTGGAACGTTGAACAATAATTGGCCYCCTCAAACCGAGGGCCCGTGGCATTTGCACACATCGTACACATGTATCACACGCCACTGCAACGTCTTATTCGAGTATGAGAAGGAATGTTATACATTTTATAATATAGTGACGATGTTCGTCAGGTCCGTATCCAGACCAAATTTTCAGATGGGGCAAACCAAATTTTAGAGGACATTTTAGTTAAATACACTACAAATTTTTTTTTTTAGGGGGGGGCAACGAAAATTGGGTTAAGAGGGCCCTCTCCCTCCCTTATGTAGCTACGGGCCTGTGTATAGTGGTGTACTATGTACTATGATTGTCAATAAATGGTTATAAATTTAAAAAAAAAACAACATATTATTGGCCATATAAAYGTCTCACCCATCGACCCATTATCATATTTTCAACGAAGAACAGCCAACCTGCCATCAGTGTAATGTACCGCTGACTATTGAACTGAGCCCACACACTCCAATACCACAAGTACGACAAATTTCACGTGATTCTAATCCMCTTCATCAGAATGGAGGAACCGTTGGATGTTATTAGTAATTTTTCAACGCAACAGCCTGACTTATAAACCTATTAGATAAAAAYATTTCTAATGTAAATATATTATATAATATACTTTTAAAATWTTATTCACAAGGTACTTATAGTGTATGACTTAATATGTGTAAAAAAATAATATGCAAAATTAAACTCAAGTACAATTTGTAGGCCAATGTCCCTATAACACTGGTTGAAGCTTTTTTTCCTGATATAATTTATTATACATATTTATAAGTATTACCTTTGATTAAAATATAATATTATGTAAGTACGTATATTCGGCTATAGAACGATTGAGAACATTGTACCCTTTTGGCCGAACGATTGAGAACACTTAAAAATATTACAAAGAACTTACCGCTGACCCCCCAAAAAAAACCAAAAAAGAATACGATTGAGAACGWATTTACGTGCAACGTTGCCATATCATTTATTATTTATCATTTAACAAATATTCTTGAAGAAAGTCATATTATGTAATATAAATATGTTTAAAAATTTAGAATTATAAGAATATGTGTCATAATATATTATGTAAAAAAAAGTAGACAAATGTACAAAAGTATGACAAATGAGTTACCTATAAATTAGTTAAAGCGGGATAGCATAATCCAACATACTTTAGAYATTTTAATATATTATTAGAACTTTTATTTGCTACATACCACATATTATATTTATTGTGAATATTAATTAATTTTTTATTTCATTTTATTGGCATTTCTTYTTTTCCCCCTGTTCTATCGTTGCTATTTTTAACCGACTATAATACGAACACTTCGTTGACGTTTGTGCGACGACTAAAACGCCTATTAAGTCATTCTCTCGTATATCTGGTATGAAAGTTGCAAATAACATACGGTTAATCCGATAAACATCCGATATATGTCCGATAAACGTCCGATAAACGTCCGATAAATATTAAAAATCAACTGTATTAATCGTTCAGTCAAAAAGGTATAACGTTCTTAATCGTTCGATAGCCGATTATCGTGCTCAAATTATTGTTTGATGAAATTTGGCAACGTTGAAAAAAAAATAAAAAATATCGAGCGTTGTCAATCGTGCTACCAAAAATAACGTTCTCAATCGTATTTTACTGGTATATTCCATTCTTCGAACCTTGTTGCAATTTCTGTTTTTAAAAAAATTTTATTCGATGTATTGGTAACCTAGTTTGGTGTAGTTGTACCTATAGTTTTATTGCTTTTATTGCTTTTATTACTTGACCTATATACTTGTATCTGTAATATGGTTAAAATGACCGTTGCAATTTTTGATGTTTACCACTAYTTTACGAATAAAATATAATTTATGATTAAAAATCATTTTGATTTTACTACTGCTGCRGTATACCGACTGACACGTCACTTCCGTTTTTGTTCGCAGGAGTGTTTGGCCACCGGATTTCGCTTCAGCGTCACCCACGACGACCCACCGTTCGGACAGAGTGAGCCACTCGATGGGTGCGGCAAGTCGCCCGGTGACGAAACGTTGCTGCTTCAACTGCAACAGCAACCGGACGGAAGTTGTTCCGAAAAGCCGATCACGTGTGACTACCTGTCGCCGTACGCGTTTACGGCCAGAAACTCGTTGGGATCCACATCAGGTTAGTGCGCAGGCACGTTGAGAACCATTTCAATCCCCCCCCACTTTTAAATGTTTAACTTCTGATCATGCCAATCGTTTGTGCGCAAAAACATTCTCCTGTATCTCAAAAACAAAATGAARGTGCCATTGAAACGGTAGCCCCCCATATTTAAAATTTGAAATTCTGACTACGCTAATAGTTTTAAAATTGGGTAGGGGGCATTGAAGTGAACCTGTCACGTTGGTGGATATGTNAACCGCGATTTAACCTTAACAAAAAAAAAAAAAAACTGGACCACTTAAGAACACTATTTAGATAAACAGAAATCGCATGCAAAAGTGATCGATAAATATCGGATAGCAATCAAATGTTCATCTCCAAATACATATGTCGAGCATCACATAAAATAATATAGTTATATTAAGGTGTACCTACAACGGCTACAACCAATTTCCAATATTTAAAATACTCATAACTCGCTTTACATGTGATGCCCTAGATCAGAGATTCCCAACCAGGGTGCCGCRAAACTATTTGAAATATTTTTTAGAAAAAACAATTTCATTAAAAATATAGCATTGTGAGTAATAAAACGGACTATAATAATATAAAACCTATCCTTGCACGTCCTACACCTTACTACTTTTGATTATAATTATGCACTAATAAATAGAACTGAAGTACTCTATAGTATAGTATAGACTATAGAGCATAGGGTGCCTCCGGATTTTTAGAAAATGTCCAAGGGTGCCACRAGTCAAAAAAGGTTGGGAACGTCTGCCCTAGATAATAATATTAYCTTTAATTGCTTTTTATCGGGTTAAMAAGGCTTCAACAACTGGGGTCATTAGCCCAGTGGCGTATTTTGGGTGATTTMTCGGGGAGTGTCAACATTTATTGAACCTCGAAAACAAAATTTTTAYTATTATTTACTAATGTAAAAAGACATTGAATTAATTTTTTAACAAATTAATAYGTTAGGAATTGACAAGAAGTTTTACATTTGATAAAAATAGTATACTATAAAATAAGTGACAACACATTAGTGACATTAGTCCAATATATTAGGACTTTTTTTTAAATGTCGGGGGGTGTCAAGACATGGAGGACACCCCC